CCCCAAATCATCTCTGAGCTCTAGTTGTTAATATATAGTTGTCTTGTTGAAATTTTTACTTGATGTCTTTAAAAGACTTAAAACTTGGAATATTTGAATTCTCAATTTTTTCTGTTTTCTCCTTCGTCTCAAAAAATGTACCATCATTTCCTTGAAATAAGAAATGCGGACATAATCCTTAAGGCCTTGATTTTTCTCCCTGTCCACATTTGGCCTAGCAACAATACCTATTGGTTGAGTGTCTGAAATATATATCCCTGTCATTCATGCTTTCTTCCAATTCACAGAACAACAAAGGAATCTTAAAATGTGTAGAGAATTGTTTCTCCTGCTTTAAGAACACTCTTTTCACAAAACTCAATTATAAGCCGAGTGGCTATCTTTAGTTTATATCTTTTTGCATGTGGTATTATTGCCTCATTGTTTTGTTGGCTTTTTGTAGATACTGGAATATTTGTGCCTCGGTGCTTTTGAGCATGCTCTTGTCCACCAGGAATGCTTTTCCCTCTGTTGTTTGCATCCTTTCAGTTGCTGATTCGATGGCATCGCAGAAAGGTTCTCCTCACTTAATATTGAAGACTTTTTTCACTCCTTGTTTCCTTATTTCTTATGGATATAAAGTATGTATGTATATACAAATACATATGTATATATTTGAAAGGGGGGTGGGTGTTATATTCTTTTCGGCACTTGGAATATAAGCATCAAGAAGGCAAGGTCTTGGGATCTGTGTGTGATTATATCTTTAGAGTACCTGGAGCATAAATGTTTGATGATTGAATGTATCGTGGATAGATGAGGAATGAATAGATGACTGAGTAACAGACTAGAAGTGAATGGGCCTAAGACAGGAGCAGATTACCTAATAAGCAATGTAAGCACAAGCTTACTATGCTTACTTACTGATCTGAAATGAGCAATTTCACATGGGTAAGATATGGTGAAAAACAAAACTGTTCAGATTAATAAGTAAGCACAAATAAGTTTGTGCTTACCTGGTCTACTCGGTACTTTGTGTTCGGAATTGTAAACTTGAAAACAGATTTTGATTCTGAAGGAAACGTGAAATTGCTCACTACGTAGGAAATGATGTGGAAGCCTGTGTCTGCCCCCCATCTCCACAAGGGGAAGGAGGACTCCTTATTCACCCAAAGATGATTTCTTTGAGGCAAGAGTCAACCATGCCTTCACCCTCCATCTTTCTTTATCTGTTCTGACACTTACCGTCCCTCCCATGGAACCTAATTCTCTTCAGGGATCAATAATACATTCCAGTGGCCATACATAACTCATGACAATATTCATGATTATGAAGTGTTAGTAGGGAAATTAATAGGTCGCAATTCAAAGTTAGAACATTAAGGATGCAAGTCTTGTGACCAAAGAAGTGTCTCTTCTCAGTCATGCCAACAACCATCGCTCTCCGGTTCTCAGCCCCATTGCCCCTTGGTTTCTGCCCTGCCCTGCCCAGGACAGTATTACAAAGCTTCTCTCCAAAACAAAACCTCACTACCTTCATAGTGCATAGCAGGTTATACATTGGACTCTGTGTTCCAGGTGGACCAGAGAAACCAGAAACACCTGGTTCCAGGTGGACCAGAGAAACAAATCCATGGACGCTCGTGTATAAGAAAGAGCTTTATATACAAGAGTAAATGAATATTGAGAAAACATCCCAGTCCAGATCAAGTCCACAAGTCCGATATTAGCCCATATGTTCCATATCAATCTATAAATTCCTCTTCAGACTAATGCAACACATGCAGTGACGCCAAATGCAGGAAGATGAGTGGAAAGTCTTGTGGATCCAGTGGCGGTAGAAGTATCTCCGTGCTGGCAGGGGTGTCCACATGGCTCCTGTGGTTCCAGAGCTCTGGCTGCATCAGAATAACTCTATCAAGCTCTTTGTCAGTAATGTCTCGCAGGGAGTGTCCAGCCTCCAGTGAGCTATTTATCTCTTTAGCAGCTCGAAATAAGGTCATCAAGCTGCTCCTCCCCTTCACTCTCCTCTCAAATTGACAACAGATTATGTAACTCCTACAGACTCCTAACCACAAGGTCCGCAATTCAAATCCGTCAGCTGCTCTTGAGAGATGGTGAGACTTTTCTGCTCCTCTAAACATTTATAGCTTTGGAAACCCAAAGGGAAAATTATACTCTGTCCTATATAGTTGATGTGAATATGAAAGCTCCTCTAGTGTTGTTAAATGCCCAAAGGCACTCAGTTTTACGTCTGTGGGCTGAGAAGCCCAATCCTTTCCTTTGTTCTGTCTCATAGTGTTAGTGTTGCTTTTCTGCTCTGTCTCGTGGTTTTGGCTGCTCTTCTGCCACCTTTCCAAGCAGGGATCTGAGGCATGCTTTACTTCGTGCTCTTCCTTCATGGTGGTTGTGGGATTCTCTTCTTGCTTTCAGAAGCAAGGCTCACTCTTACACCCAGCAGAATGGCTAAACTGACTAATCTCCACATTAGTCCTCAGTGCCTTCCTTGCATGATCCTACCCAATCATTTGATGGGAGTTACAAAGACTGGATACTGAGTAATGCCATTCACTTCGTAACTACAAATTAGTAAGTAAGCATAAGTAAGCTGTTGCTTGTCTTTATGGTTAATTTGTCCATGGCCTAGGAGCATGTTTAGATTTCAATTTTAAACAATTATTTAAGCTGACCTTGAGCTACCTAGTGAGATAGAATAAATGTAGTCCGATTTTTTAAAAAAATGGGACCACATAAGATTAAACAAGCTTAAATATATTTTAACCAGAAATGGTTTATGGACAATGTAATAATGTAATTATTATAGTTTCCAAATAAAGCTTGTTTTCTTTTTCCAAAGAGTTATTTTATTGCTTACTTACTAGTTCTCAAAACCAAATAATTAATTTTAGTGTATATAAGTTACTTATTACTTAAGTGTTCTAAGTTAAAATTCTTGGTTTAAATCAAAAAAGCAGAAATTGTCCCCGACCTATGGTAGTTATAGTTTGGTTGGAATATGTCCATTATTATAAATCAAATAAAACAAGAGGTCTACGTTGATTTTGGTTTATTAGGGGTAATGTGGAGAGAAGGCGGTAAAGGTAAGATCTGAATATCAAATTTAGGAGGCTAATAGGTAACAAGCAGTACCACTAGGTAATTGGTACTGGTATCTGTCGAGTTGACTCCAACTCTTATAAGTCAGTAGAACTGGGTTTCAGAGGATTTTCTATGTTGGGCTCAGCCTCCTGAAAAGAACACAAAAACCATTTAGATTTTTCCCCATAGGGTTGATATGGGTTGGACTCCAAATGACAGCAGTGGGACTTATGCTTTTATTTTATATTTGCTTGTTTTGATTTAATGACCACTAGATGGGACAGTAAGTTCAGACAGTGCTTGAACGTGAGAAATTACATGTTTTGCTATAGTAGAAAAGAATACCTGTAATTGTTGAAACTCTAGCTGGCATAGTAGAAGAGTAGTGTTTGTACTAATTCTTATGCACATAAAGTTTGAAAGTTTCCAAACTAAATTAAAGGGTGAAAAGAAAGGAAGCTTGTCTGGAGCTGTCAGGGCATTCAAACAATTTTTAAAAACAATAAGCAATTTCTTCTGAGTAAATAAAAGGTGGTTAGAGAATTTTAATGTTTTCCTGTCATCCTGCCTGTAAAGTTTACTTCATTTTTTTTTTTTTTAATGATGAACCTATATAACCTTACTGTGTAATTCTACATTGCAGGTCTGGCAAGTATTTATTAGATTTTAATCTGTAGCCTTTTAACACTTACTCAAGGGCTTCTTGTTTTCATGTGCCATCTGGCAGCAGTGTCTTCCCAAAGTGGAAGCTCAGTAAATAGTTGTTGGGTCAAGGAATGATTCCAGTGAGTCTGATTGCTTTATTTAAGAGGACTCTCTTATTTTGATTTTTTTGTAGTTTGAGGTGGTGTCAACATCCTACGGAAGAAGAATTACGAATCCTTGCAGGGAAGCAGCAAAAAGGGAAAAGCAAAAAAGAAAGGTAAATGAATAATTTTGAATATGTAGGGTGTTAGTGCATTTAACGTGCCCATGTTTTATGGTTTGTTTAAGGCACAATTACTAAGTGTGCTTTAAGCAAAGTTTTACTTTAAGTGCCTTTTTAGGCTTTGTCACTCATTATTTAATATTGTGGTGTTGGACAAATTGACTTGCTTTTGATGTTAATTTTCTCATGTTTAATATTAAAAGGGTAGATTGTTTAATAAGACCTGTCAATACCAGAACCCTGGTAGGGTAGAGATATATCAGAAAAGGAACGCTTAAATATTTTCCACTATTTTAAGGGAAAGGGATAAGACTGCACCTGGAAAACTTGCAAGGCCCAGAAAAACAAAGCAGTTCTTTTGAATTACAGCTTTCACAGGTTTCACTGTATAATACTATAGGTCTCATTCAACTCTTAACGATTTAGATCATGTTTAAAGTTCATGAGGAAAATTTGCCTGATAAGAAACCTCACTGAATGGACAGCAGTAGCCTGGATCTTTTAAAATGGAGGGACTGGCCTAAGTCATTTTGAAAAACTCTTCAACTCTAAAATTTTAAATCTCTTAAAATTGAATTCCCAGGACAAGGCCTTGAATTTCTCAGCTGGGAATCCAGGAGCACTCTTTGACTCTGAAATGGTGGTCCAGAAACTGTATTACAAAATATCAATGACAACAAATTGTCCTAAGTTTTTCAGATACGTCACGAACATGGCCTAGAGTATTTCTAAGTATTGAAAAATTCTCTAAACATGAATGATTATTTGGCTTGAGATTGGAAATTTGAAAAGACGGTCTTTTCTGATTTTACTGACATCCTTTTTTATGCCATTACAGATACATCTTAAAGCTTATTATAACATTTATTATATTTCCTCCTGCTTTTTATTCCAGTGGTTATGTTCTTTAATAAAATATTCATGACACATGGTTTCTTATATATTGTGCAGAGCACTGTTGCATACTATTTTACGTAACCTAAACCTGTGTGTTAAGTGTTCAATTTTTACATTTGTTTTTAATATTCCAGTTCTAGCTATCCAAAGCTTTAATGCTTATCACTTCGAAAATTTAGTTATGTACTATAACCATATTCAGGAAGCTCTAGTGGGTGGTAGTTACAAGATGGGCTTCTGTCCACAAGGTTGAATGATTTAGACGTACAAGCTCTTGGAGAGAGAAAGAGTAGGTTCTCATAAAGATTGACAGCCTCAAAACCCAAAAGAGCAGTTCTGCTCTGTCTGATAGGGTCTCTCTGGATTGGAATTGACTCGATGGTAGTGAGTTTGGTTTGAATAAATTTGCTGTAGTGTTCATTTTACAAGTATTTGGATGCTTACCATAGCCTTGTACTCAATTTTGTTATTTTTCAATGATAAAGTTTTATAAATTGACCAATTTTAACATTTACAAAAAGAGATACTAAAGTCATTGTCTGCCAAGTGGCAATAAGTATTGTTTGATCTGGTGACATAAAATAATTTGCTTACTAAGCTTTTTTCTGCTTATATTTATTGAAAAATGAACACAACATTATTTTCTAGTGTTGCAATTAATGTTCTCAAAGCTTAATATATTACATTCACTGTGCAACTTATTTTACTATAAAAAAATAAGTTTGGGAGTGATAATAAATATTTGAAGATTTGTTGCATTATTCATCTGTCGTTTGAAGTAAAAGCCACTTTGAATTGCCTTTCATGTTTTTTAATTTCTCCCTTGCATAAATCTTTATGTCTGTTTTTAATTTTGACTTGTACATAAGTTACATGTCTGTTTATACTTGTGTGGATGGGAGTGTGTATATATAATTTCAAAGATAGGTGGACTTCGTCTTCATTTGCTTTTACTGCTATGCCTGAGGAAAGTTTCCATGAAGATGTTAGGCTCTCTTTAAATTCACAGAAGAGACAGAGATGGTATAACATTTCTTTCTCTTCGCTAACTGGGAAGATTTTACTCCCTGTTACTAATTTAGGTAACTCTTTCCTCGGAAATCTGCATATTCGTGTAATTATTTACATGTACATGTTGCCATTTCCAGGGGGTGCATTATCTTCTTTAGTCAAATACTAAGAATTCTGTGCTTCTTTTTCACTTAGAAATTTAAAATCAGATTTGTTATTAAACATTCACTTGGATAACAGTAAAGGTAACTTGTTTTTTGTGTCACCTGTCTGATTTTTATAGGAAATATAATGGCCACATTGAAAGTAAGCCATTAACCATTCCAAAGGATATTGACCTTCATCTAGAAACAAAGTCAGTTACTGAAGTGGATACTTTCGGTAAGGGGTATCCACGAATTTCAGTTCTCTTAGTGAAAGTACTCAGATTTTTATGTTATGGCTTGTCTTTTTTTCCTAAGCAAGTTCATTATACAGAATATGAAATCTAAGAACTTAAGAGCTCAAAATACTTTATTTGATTTATTTCATTCCTTTTCACCTATAGAAACTATTGATAATAAATTATCAAGGTTTCATAAGGGAGGAGACCGGGGAGGGAGGGGAAAAAATGAGGAGCTGATACCAAGGACTCAAGTAGAAAGAAAATGTTTTGACAATGATGAGGGCAACATATGTACAAATGTGTTCGACACACAATGGATGGATGTATGGATTGTGATAAGAGTGGACGAGCCCCCAATAAAATGATTTTGAAAAGAGAAAAACTGTTTATAAACATTTTTTTCTCAATGCTTTTTAGAAGACACTAATATGCACAGGTTTACTAGATGCAACTTTCTCTTACTAAAGTGAGGCTATGCACTTTTTATTATTTTGAATTCTAGACTTTTTGTTATGCTAATCTGCTTATTTTATAGTGTAGTTTGAAAAATGCATTTGTTTATCAAGAGTGACCTATATTTTATGCTTATATTTGATAGAAAGGAAAGTGATTTCAGAATTACGAGGATCAAGACTCAAAATCTTTATTGAAGATGACCTATTGGGTTATCTCTGAATAAGTTATCTAGGTTTTTGCCCTCTTGGCCTGCCCCCTTCCCATATTAATTTTTTACCATATTAATTTTTACAATTATTTAATGACTATATTTAACATAGGAGTTTACATGAAATTGTTGGAATCCTACAAGATAAAAGAATCTAAGATGATGATTATTTAAAACTGGTTGTACATCAAAATCATGTCAGTGGCTATTTAAAAATAAAGATTGTACAATACTACCCAGTGAGATTTAGTAAATCTGGAATGGTTTCTAGGAGTGTGCATTTTTAAAGGTACTCTATTACTTTGAAATGTGATCAGGTTTGAGAACTGCTAACTTACATGGTAAGTGGAAGGTAAAGTAACACTTAAAAAGATAACTTGAATAATCTTATACTTTCTGATACAATCTAATTATATAATTAGGCCTTTCTGGAGCAAGTCAGATCTCCCTCAAAAAACAGCTTTAAGAGATAGCTAGCATCTCATGGAATAATTTTGTGAAATGCCCTAACTAGTGTATTTGAAGTATCAATGTGTAAAGGGGGTCAGAGAACCTACAAATACCAGTGGAGTACAGTATGATTCACTGGTGTTGTATTATACAGACTTTTAAAGACTGGTTATGTGATCATCTTTTTAAATTGTGTGTGTGCGCACACGTGCACGCTCACAAAACAATATTTCAAAAAGCTGTGACTTTCAGTTAGTAGTTATATTTGTTACGAACTTACACCTTTATAAAACAGCCACATTCGTACGCACTGCTGCTCCCTGCTGTTGAGTCCCTTCTGACTGCTAGGGAAACTAGGACAGAGTAGAACTGCCCTGTGTGTGGCCGAGGTTATAGTTTTATGGGAATAAAAAGCAGCCTCTTTCTTCCTCGGAACAGCTAGTGGTTTTGAACTGTTGACCTTGTCATTAGCAGCCCAAAGTGTAACCACTGCGCCACCTGGGCTCCTCTACAGTCATAGAAATAATAATAATACATTGCATATCTTTCCTGATTTCCAGTATAATTTTTGTTATTTTTTACAGAAATAGTAAATGTTCATTGATTATTACCTTAAAAAAACTTATTAGCAATCTGAGGTAGAGAGACACTTAACTTTGCCAATGTTACACACCTAATGTAATAAAGCTAATCAACTCTGCAGATGAATTTGGAAACTTGAAACTAGGGTAATAGATAATAGTTGCAACCTTAATTGTCTTCGACATTCAGTATTTGCTTTTCCTAGCACAGGTTTGGATAACTAGTTTTAACATCAGCATTTCACTTGACCAAATAACAGTACTACTTTATTTTAAAAGTAAAAGTAAGGCCGTTGTATTGTACACCTAGTTGTATTATGAAGTTAAAGTGTCACAGCTTAAACTCTTATACTTAAAAAAAACCCAAAATCACAGCTCAGTCACCTTTAAAAATTGTTACTCACTTAAAATATAAATATAAATTAGATTATAATCATATTTTATATACATTTAAATACATTTTGATAATTTGACTTTTATGTAAACTATTTAAATTATGAAAGCTTCATTTTGGATGCTAGAATTCTCAATCAACTTCTTGCATTTAAAAAATTTCCTATTTATAAGCCTTACATTGCATATGAACAAATAGCACTTTAAAAAAAAACAAAAACAAATAGCATTTTAACGATAGCATGGCTTGTTTGAAGTTAATTATAGCTAATCCTCAAACTATAAGACTTGGAGTAAAATATGTCTCTCTTCATTTTTTTTATTTTCAGCACTGCATTACTTTCCAGAATACCAGTGGCTGGTAGATTTCACAGTGGCTGCTACAGTCGTGTATTTAATAACTGAAGTCTACTACAGTTATATGAAACCAACTCAGGAAATGAATATCAGTGTCGTTTGGTGCCTGCTTGTTTTGTCTTTTGCAATGTATCCTTCAAAACATCATTAATATTATGAATTTTCCTTTTGCTACTAATGCAGTTAGAATTCATCTCTGATTTAAACATTACAGTTACTTCTTCTTGAAATCCTCTTAAAAGAGAATTGAAAAGGAACCTAGGGAAGGTAGTGTCAAAAATGGAAGACTTCATAGCAACTTTCATAAGTATTTTGAAGATCTAAGTTTTTTCTTCAAATTATGCAATGCAGTAAACATTTCGGAACACATTTTAATATCTAGAAGTCGTTCATGTTAAATGTTTCAGAAGTGAGGTTGACTCGAAGCTTCTTTAAAGAAATACCTTAACCTTTAAGTGTTTCTGTGCTTGGGAAGAGAAGTTGTGCCATCTCATAACGACTGTAATATTTTAATAAAGGAGTTAAACTCTGACAGACCCCTTTGGGGTTTGAATCTCTTTTGAATATTTGAATCTCAGAGCATTTGAATCTCTATTCATTGTACCAAACTCATTACCACTCAATTGATTATGACTCAAAATAATGCTGTAGAACCTAGTGGAACTTCTATAAGTTTCTAAGGCTGAAAATCTTTATGGGAACAGAAAAGATTTATCTGTTCATCTTTAAGAGTGTCTAGTGAGCGCAAATTGCTGAGCTTTTTGGCTAGCAGGCAGACATGTAACGCACTATGCCTTCAGGACTCCTTATTTATTGTACAGTAACTCTTATTTCTGCAATTGACTCAGTGACAGTGAATTTTTTTTTTGAGATAACAATTTGTAATTGCCTGCTATTCGGGTCCTAATAAAGGTGAAGTGAAAATTCCGAGTTCATGTAATTTGTCCTGTTCAAATAATCTTTGGATCCAAGGACACCATGGGAAGTATAGCTTGACCTAAATATTTAGTGTAATACAAACTAATGTAAATAAAACCAGGATGCACTTCTTCTGTTTCAAGCGCTAAAAAAACAAGCCATACTCACTGTCATTGAGTTTTATGCCAATTTATCTGAGTCACGATTCTCAGAAGTATGCCAGTTATGATATAATTTGACAACTGTGTGATAATGTGGTTTTCCATTTGTGATCTGATGATGTGATCATTCTCCAGTTTCATCTTAACATTGGATTTTGATAACCTAGTCTTGAGGTGCTTATCATGTCAATAAGTGAGGGGTAGGTATGCATAACACATTTCTATTTTGTTTTCCCTTGTACATTCCCTCCTGAAGCCATCAGTTCTCTAAACTTCCTTCAGAGCTTTTGTCCTGGACTTTCTTTAATAGTCTTTCTAGGAATTCCCTGCAGCTATTTTTGCATCTTGTGATGCATTTCTTGAAGTATTCTCCTAGTCTCCTTAGAAAGAAAAGGTTGGTAAATGACTTGACATTTTGCACAACTTAACTTGATTGATAGTTCGTATCAGTAGAAAATTCCAAGAAGAAAATAGTTTTTCTTCAAAATTTTGAAGGCTGTCAGAACTTGGCTGTCTGTTTTCTTTTGGTATATGCCTCTCTTTTATTCTTTACTCATTCTTTCCAGAGTTTTTTCTTTATCTTTTTGGTATTCTGAAACTTCACGATAGCATGGACTTTTTTTTTTTCTTAAAGATCATTTTCTTGGGGGATCTTACAACTCTTATAACAGTCCATACATAAATTTTATCATATTTGTACATATGTTGCCATAGTTATTTTCTAAACATTTACTTTTTATTTGAGCCGCTGGGGCATGGATGATTTTTTTACCACTAATTGTGATGAATACTGTGTTGAATTTTTTAATCTGGAAATTTAATTTTTTAAATTTAATTTAATTTGAACCTGACTCTCAACTCTCTTATATACTCTTACCTCTCCAGAATCAACATTTTCCAAGTCATCTGTATGATCTTTACCTACGTAGTTTGAATTTAAGTTTAGGTATGGATTATTACCATTTCATATGGAAATAAGGACTTAACACATCTTCTTGGGCTACCACATATCACTGATCATTCCCATTCATCACATCTATATACAGTGATGCCATGCCTTTTTAATTCATTAAGTGTTGACATTATTTTACTATAAACACTATTCAGAGATATTATATATATCTTAATTTTAATTTGTATTACATATATCTGTACACCACGCACACATATCTATCATTCCATTTTAAACTTTTGTGGTTACAAATTTCTCAATATGTTCAGAATCATTGCTTGATCTACATAACAGCTTTACTCCTGAAATGAACCATTTTTGCATGTCCTAATTGGAGCTCCATTTTCATAGATTTTTATGCCTTTTATTTTTTGGAGCATATCCTTCAGTATCATCTTCAGAAACTACAAAGAACGCAGTTTTTCATTCAGCAGTTCATTTGCATTTGCTTCCTTGGTTACAACCACACTGTGTAACAACATTCATCCCGGTTCTTTGTGGCATTTGTTTCCATCTCTCCTCAGAAAGTATTTTTGCAACCTTGTACATCTGAAAGTTTGTCTAATCTGCCCTTCGACTTAATTCACGTTCTGACTGAAAGTAGAATTTGAGTTTGGCAGTTAATTTTAAAGGCATTTTATTATTTAAGGTCTCATTCTTACCATTGAGAATTCAAGTTGATTTTAACAATTTGTGTCTGCTTTTTTTTTTTTTACGTCTAAAGCAGCTGTTCTCAACCTGTGGATCGCAACCCCTTGGGGGGGGGGCTGGCGAACGACCCTTACACAGGAGTCGTCCAATTCATAACAGTAGCAAAATTGCAGTTATAAAGTAGCAAAGAAAATAAGTTTATGGTCTTAGGGATGAATCAACCAATGAGCAGTACAGCACTGATGAAACACACAATATTCCTCTGGTTTCTTGAGGTTTCCTCACCCCCCCACCACGATCATGACCCAGTCCTGCCTTTCACTGCGGACTAGACCGGATCACATACACAGGTACAGATAAAAGCTCACAACACACGGAATCCGGGTCAGATAAACCACTCAGAACAGAAATGGGAGTAGCTATACCAGGAGTGTAGGGAGAAGGTGCGGGCAGGAAGAGGGAACAGAATGCAGTGATCGACACATAGCCACACACACATACACCCTACCCCAGGGGGATGAACAACAGAAATGAGGGCAAAGGGAGGCAGTGGATGGTGTAAAATATGAAAACAATAATAATTTATCATTTATCAGCGGTCACAGGATTGGAAGTAGTGATACCAGGAGGGGAAGAGGAAGGTGGGGGGAGAAGGGGGAGAAATGGGGAACCAACGATAATGATCCTCAGGGGG